CGAAAAATTTCCCATGTTTCCCGATTCCCGGCAAAATCTCCAGATTCCCGGAATAAATTTGTTTTTCTCCCGAAATCACAACTTTATCGATGGGTTGGCCATTGGTGCTTCATATTCCAGTTCAAGATTTATTGGTGTCAGTACTTCCCTTGCGATATTCTGTGAGGAGCTGCCACATGAACTTGGTAAGTAGTAATTAAAGCTATTCTCATACATACCAGATAGCTTTTACTCCTGCACGAAAACGACACCGGATAGGGCTTCTGTTCACACATACGAACGGTGATTTTGGCGCGATTTCTGTAACGGAGCGAAGCTGCGCCGCGCCGATCTCGTGAGAAAAGTGGAGAGTTACATACCTGGATAGGTGTTCACACTAAACCGGATAGCTTTTCGTGTCGGCACGAAAAGTTATCTGGTACTGAGTGTGAATAGTGGAATATAGAAACGTTATCAAAAGAACTACGAGCAGCAAAGTATAGGCCTTTTGCATTACTTAGTCACGTGATCAACTTTCAGTAAACCCAAAAACAGTTCGCTTTTGAACAATTTTGTTAGCACGAGCTGAAAGAGCATATTAAGATCAGGTAACCCGTAAATTTTCAGCCATATATCTCAAAAGCAGCGATTGCAACGGCCGCCGAAAATTAGAAGGATTTGTATGAGAAAAACAACTTTTGCCACCCAGTCACGCTTGAGTGGTTTTCCATACAAATCCTTGTAAGTTGTGAAATTTTTAACTGTCGTTAAATCTTTCCCTTACACATTTAAGGGCTCAAATTTCCTGTTATAAATTAAAAGGAGATTTGAACCCCGTAATGCTTAAGGAAATATTTCACGACAGTTTGAAAATTTCAAAATTTACAAGGATTTGTATGGAAAACCATTCAAGCGTGACTGGGTGGCAAAAGTTGTTTTTCTCATACAAATCCTTCTAATTTTCGGCAGCCATTGCAATCGCTACTTTTGAGATACGGTATACAGCTGAAAATTTACAGGTTACCTAATTTTAATATGCTCTTTCAGCTCGTGCTAACAAAATTTTTTAATAGCGAACTGTTTTCGTGTTTACTGAAAGTTGATCACGTGATCAACTAATGCAAAGGCCTATTAAGGTATTTAATTGCACTTTCATTGCTTATTACCAAACAGCTAAAATTTTTGTCCTGGATATAGGTAGGGACGAGCTGCATTCGGTAATATTTTTTGGATTTTACAAAATGTTTTTGAAATGCTCCCCAGGTGACTTTGCAGTTCTTCTAAATGCTGGTTTGTCATATAAAGCCGCATTGGGCTTCAACTTTTTGTCGGCATGCTCTTGTTATTTGGGGCTCGTTATTGGATTGCTGCTAGGTTATACAACGTCCGCTGTCACGTGGATCTATGCTCTTGCTGGTGGATTGTTTGTCTACATTGCTCTTGTTGATATGGTAAGTTGCACCTTTAAACGTAAAGGCCCTTGCAGAAAATACCATAAAACTCGTTAATGCGAAAGAAAGAATATAATTTGTGTCGAAGATGAGTTTACGTTAAAAACTTGGTAAAGGGCAAGTGCCACCTGTTATAGATATAATACAATATATAATGACAATCATAATTTTCCAAAGTGTAACAGGGCGAGGTCTGCGAGGTAGTATATTTGTGAGAGGGTATGAATGGGATTAACCGACTAGCGACAAAGGGCAAAAAATATTACCGACGACCGACAAAACGCGAAAAAAATTACCGACTACCGACAGGAAAATTATTAACCGACTACCGACCTGGACGGACATTATCTATATGTTTTTTCAGAAAGAAGAGTATACTGTATTTTTTCTACCTTTCTAGGAAGTAACGAAATGATACCACGTCACAAGTCTTTTTACAAAATACCACAAAACGAGGGTATTGAAATCGGTTTGCAGAGCGTATGAAAATTTCTGCAACCCGCCTAGTCCTACACATTATATGCGAGAAATGCTTAGATTAATCCTTATCCTTATCCTTGTTCTCCTTGATGTAAAGACTACGGAAACCTTCCAGCACACATTTTGCGGCTTGTCACCCACCGATTTGTCAAAAGAGTTAAGGAAAGTTCAAAAGAAAGCTTGATGGTTGATGATGAACAGAGGCTACCACACAATTTGAAAGACAAATTGCAATCAGAAATAAATGAAACTCACAGAAACCGAAGTCCGCCCTCCTGAAACAAAACCGAGCAAGGAAGGAAAAGAAATGTTGCCTTTCGTGACACAATACCAGCCCCTAGTGTCTACTGTAAAAGAAGCTTTAATGGAAAAGTGGAATCTCACACAAAACCAACCGCTACTTTGCTAATTTTTTAAAGAACCACCCCTTATTTCCTACAAGAAAGGAAAACCCGCAAACCAGTGGCAAAGAACATGCTTGTTAGAGCCAAACTATTAAAGGTTAACATACGGTTTCACGCCGGTATAGATGTGCAACCTGTCACCCCT